TCATCTTGTCTTGTACTAGGCAAAGAAATGATTACAACTGTCATAAGACGGCAATAATCCACCAAAAGCGCAACTACCGCCGCATTTAAATGAAGTATTTGGCCACGCCCACCCTCCGGGTATGGAGTGTGTATACTGCTGTCATTTTCATCTTCAAGCTGTATTCTTGTGCGCTTTTCTGTTTTCGTTTTTTCTAAAAAGGTTTCAGCTGAGTAACGCGGTTGGGAAATCATACGAGATACCGAGGTTGATCAGGATACCCTACTCTTCACGAGATAGTTATGTTCGCGTGAGTCTTTCAAAATCCTTCCAGAGTATCTACGACGCTACGTGAGGAATGGTTGATTAATTACGTTTTGCAGGCGCTCTGTGGACTATCACAATCCTTCAATGATTCTTCGATTGATAGAAGTAACGCAGGCGTACTCCTTCGACTCAATCCACTCACAGGTTCCTTTTACCATGGGTTCTTCGTGTTCTCTCTATACACAAAATTAGAAGTCCACATCTGTCTTCTGTCAAACGATTTTTGTCGTGTAGACAAAGTTGTCCTGGAAGCTGCCTCGGCTATATTGCTAACTTAGGACGGCACGTACTCTCTGTACTCGCGATTCGTTTGGTCAGTGATACAGACATGAACAGAGGCCGTATTCTTTCACACAATGAAGTAGTGCCACCAGGTCACACTTCCCGGAACGTCGTAGTCCACTGCCAGGGTTCGCCACGGATGATTTTGACTCTGTAGGCTCACGTCTTCACTCCGAAATCAGCAGAACCATCGGCACCGCTGATTCTCCGTTGTATTACATGACAGATTTCTTTCAGAGGCTGCCTGATCCCTGTGTAAGGCGCTAGACATGAATACTTGCATTTAGTTATTGGTTGCTCATATTTTCGAGATAAGTCCGACAGTGAAGAAAAAGACTACCTGGCTGCCGCCATGTGCTCCTCCTTACTATTTCACAGGCCGGCTTTGCCGGGCCAACCTGGCTTCGCCAGGCACTCTTTCCTTGGGCGAGGTAGAATGTGCCAAGTTATTTTTTATTAATATGTAGGAAAATGAGTTAAAAAAGCTCAATTCAGTCATTATCTACCAACATCTGGTCCCTCTTGCTTACTACAGACTTTCAACCGTGAGAAGGCTGCACCATATCATCAAGGAACGCAGTTGCGACAACAGAATGGGTAAAGTTGATTCCCCCTCCCCTCTTGCCATTGCATGCCTCTAAAAGCAAATACTTTAATGGACGACCTTGATTCTGTTGCCATCAAAGGAAAGAGTTCACACACTGAGCCTCTAATACTCGGCATTAAAGCGGTAAGAAGTGATAAAAATGTAGCGCAGATGGTATCTTATCTGTTTTTATCGATTGATAAGATTACCTGTCACCCGTCATCAATGTCCTCATCACCAAATCTCTATGATTTGGTAGCGTGAACCACCTTGAACAGCGACGACGACTGCAACTTCACTTATCAGTCTCTATCAGTAGTTATCGCTTCCAGTCACCCACGGTTGATGTCCTCATCTCACCCTCTATATCACTTGCTGAAACGTACGCCTCGCTGATGCTGTGACCTGCGCTGTGAATACGATGGCCTCACCGTTCTGACGCCCCCTATCAAATCTTATAAGCAACTTGCAGTTTTTGTGACCCACTAGTGATGTTCTTTACCCATACTCTATATCATATCTTGGAACCAAGAACTAGCTGATGTTGTCACCCGCGTCATGAATATGGTGATCTCTAAAGCCTCTTATCGGATCTTATCAACTGATATCACTTCCTGTAACCCAC